GAAGTCTAAGGTTCCTCTGAATCACAATGACCCCCAAACAGGCAATTGCTTAGGACATTTTGAAGTTAAGGGAAGCAGTACTGTATACACTGCTGTCTAGAGACAGACAATATTGTAAGATCATTCAATCCAAAATCTAAAATTATGCTTTTGGGTTGTTGTTTTTCAAAGCTGTCTGTGAGATACCAATTAGGATCCTTGGTAAAATCAGTGTGTCCTTTTCTTGGCAACCTCTTGGTCCAGGACAAATACATAGGCAGAGGCAGAGTCTGACACGGTATGGGGTCCAAAAGAGCAAGAGGAAGGGGGAATGAGGTAAAGGTAGGGTCAGGTTGGAGAGTCAGAAAAAGAGAACGAGCGAGAGAGCTCCATCCAGTTTTAGCTCTGTCTCCACTGATCTCTGGATACAGTTCCCATTGGAATACCCTTCGGGAAATGTGGCCCTCAATAGAAAAAAAGCATGTATAAAATTACTGAATTGCATCCTGACTTAGCTGTGCAGTCCCCCTTGATGTCTCCACCAGGCAGCACAGCATGGTCTAGTGCCGGGCAACGGGCCCTGAGCACCTGGCTCCCCAAAGGTGATGAAATGAAGCCTCTGTAGTGGACCTCTCTGGCCGTGAAGGGTATTAAAGAATGCTTTGGTGTTCAAACTTAAAATTGGAAAAAAAAAGTTTATTTTAAGAGCACTGGTGGTGTCCCTCTTGCCTACTTTACAACAACAACAACAACAACAACAACGATGATGATGATGATGATGTGGTGTTGATGGAGACCTTCGCTCCACTGGGCAGTGATTCTGCAAGGCTTTTCCTGCCACCTTCTACCTGAGATTGGTTTCACTCAGGGGTGAGGACATTCTGCATACAATGTACGGGTATATGCTCTAGCACTGATACGGGATGCTTTTGATCCTTGCCTGCAAAAAACATACTAAAAAGTGGAGAGACTATAAAAATACACAGTAAGTGCTAAAGAAGATTTCATCGAGGAATAGTAGTCAAGGATTGGTTTTGTTTTGTTTTTTAAGTCGAACTCAGTTGCAAAATAGCAAATTGTCTACAAGTAACTGCAACAGACTTCGAGAGGCAGGCTGGGCAATGCCTCGAAAGGACTGTCTGAGAGGACTTAGTGGGAATGGGAATGGACCTCTGATAGTTAAATTTGCCAGGGGATTTGCACAGCACAACTCCTGTTGTTCAAAATAACTGCTTGGTGATGGGAGAAGGTGAAGCTGTGCAGACAGAGGAAATGGCTTGCAGGGAGAGAGAGCTAGGGCTCATTTTATCTGTGCCCTTTTGATTAGCCTCTCTCCCTCTCCTGTTTGTGTAAGCTGTAAGTAGGGAGTTGCTGGCTGGCGTGTGATGGGAAAACCTCCACTCCTCTCTGTCTCAATTAGCTTTGCTAATTCGTATTGGCATGTTTGATCTCCTCGGTGAGAGATGAAAGGGGCATCTGCCAACTGTGGTTATAATCACAGCCTGGCTGTTCTCAATGGAAAGGACTTGCTGGAAAACGACATTCAGCCAGTAGGGCGGGCAGGAGTGTGTGTGTATGGGGGGGGTGAGCTAGAGGGGAGACGAGCAAGAAACCTAGTAATGTCCTATCCAGCTCAATGATGTACAACACGAAAGGGGGAGTGAGTGAAAGGAGGAGGAATGTTATCTATACAAGTTTGCTCTGCACTTGAATGGGAGATAAAATGTCAGCTGGAATGTGTTATCTCCTGAACAAAGCCTGAGGTAGTAGAGCAGGCTGTCCTTGGTTTGTTTCCTGGTTTTCATTGCCCTGTAGCTGACAGCTTAAGAGTTAAGGACTTGCTCACAGATTCTTTGAATCGTGGGGTCCAGGGCTCTGTTTCCACTGTAAATGAGATTGTTGCACTGTAAAATGGATCAAAGGTGGCCAAAGGAACAGATTTTCTAATGATTAGGTATAAAGACTTTCTCCAACCTGTCATCCTCCAGAACTGTTGGATTATAAGGGCCCTCATCCTTAACCACAGGAGCTGAGGGTAGTGGGTGTGGTTGCCCACCACATCTGGAAAATACCAGGTTGGGAAAAAGTGCTTTGTTGAAAATCACCTGGGAGCCCTGTGCCACATACAACTGTGTGTGTGTTTTGTTTTTTCCTTCACCATATCTAAGAAGTGGATGTAACTTCTTAGAATTAATCCAAGGTGTGAATGCTTGTTTCTGAGGGTTATCTTAATACTTTAAGTTAAAAGCAGATTTGCTTTTTTTACAGCCTTTTCCCTCCAGGTGTGCAAACGATTCTAAGCAACTTGTCTGAGAGATCAGACATTTTGTTTGTTTGTTTGATTGATTGATTGATTGATTTATACCCCGTCCATCTGGCCTAAAAGACCACTCTATGTGGCTTGGACTCTAGACATGCAAATATAGTTGTGCTACCCTGGAACTGGCTGAATTACAAAGCAAAGTGCTGGGGGAACAAGTACTTTGGAGATTGCCTGCAATGGGACTTGTTCTGGCACACAGTCTTGCAAGTTGCAGGGAATCCTCACAACTCACAAAGGTGCACTGCTTTGCAGAGGACGGAAAGAAACAGCGCAGGAACAGCATGGAAATAAAAGGGCAACTCTTATCTCTTGCTGTTTGATGGCTCACCATCCCATAATTTGACGGCTCCTGCCAAAATATGGAACTCAGAGTTTGTTTTCCCCAAGGTGTGTTTAAATCACCTCATGCATTAAAAACAATAAGAAGCTACTTGAGCCAACTCAGACCATTGTCTACCTGTCTTGGCATTATCTACAGTCTCTGGCAGAAACTGTCCTGGGTTTCCAGGAGGGTTCTTTTCCCATTTCTTTCTTCAAATGCTTTCTTCACATCTTGGGACCTCCTGTGTGCAAAACATACTCTCTGCGTCTGACCACTGGTCTTCTCCAAAAGGCTGGGCTATCTATTAGTTCAGAGGTTTCACATTCCTTGTCAATTACTGCAGATGGTCCTACCCCTGTATCTCATGCTGTTTTCTAAGACATTTCTGAAGCATGAGGTGACAATGTCTTTGGGTTAACTCATCAAATTTCATGCCACCCTCATCTCATCAGGTTCTTGGTTAATGCCTGAGCAGTGCATGTCACAGAAGGATCCATGTGATTAATGGCCTTGGGGTTTTTTTTTCTCCCATTAGAAACCGGAGGTATTCTCACACATTATCATTGGTCTTCATGAATTTTGACAAACCTTTCATTGTGACTCAATGCTAGTTTGACTTCACTCCCAACATGCACAACAGAGTGGAGCAATTAAGCTCATGTTGTCTTGGCACCTTTCCCATCCCCTAATCTTTAATTTTGCAAACAGCTTTGCAAACAAGAAATGCAAAACCTAATGGAATAGGATAAATAGTCTTAAATAAATTATCCTAAAGGGGAAAAATAAATAAAAATAATGACAGGTCCTTCAGTGAACTACATCACTTGTGATCTCTGAATCCATTCAAAAATACATTACATTTTAGTAGCTTCAGGGAGCCAGAAACATGAAATAGGCCTCCTTTAAATGCATCAAAATAAATTTGGTTTCCTAATTGAGGGACGGATAGTATTTTGTGCTGGTCAGAGCCATGTTTTGGCAACATGGTTTGAAGGTTTGATGGATGGAGGGGTTTTGAATGAACGTTTAAGGGAAATATTGTGGATTATGTCTTGGATTATGTCTTTTGGAATGCTTGGCTAGGAAGTACTGGCTTATGAACAAGTATCGAGCGGAACATAAACAAGCAGCTGTTTGTTGAATCCATTGCAGCAAAACTAAATGAAATGCATTCTGGAGTAGTCTCTGGTCTTTCCTCTTGCACATATTTGATGTGGGTCAGGGAGGCACAGTAGATATTCCAGGAACAATGTGCTCTTTAATTTTTTGGAAAGCATTAACTCTTTCCCTGTGCATTCACTCTATTGATATTGGTTCATTTACATGAGAAGATGCATTTTTATCTGCAGTTTATTGTGAAATAAATCCATGGCTGCATGTGGAATTGCCCCATTTCTGCGAAATCCATTACGATACAGCCAAGGAACTGGATACAGCATTTTTAATGCCAAACCAATACAACGTATGCCTCTTATTGCAAAACCTTTTCACTTAAAAACATTAAGTGGTGATAGTTGTATCTTTTTCTTGACATGTACATATTATAAACCATGCTAGTGAGTGAATACTTTTCAAATCATTTCTACTATTTCAGCTGATGGCCCATCACTGGCCATTTTCATACAAAACATCCAGAATGCATTAACCATGAATCATCATCTATGCACAGTGGCTCCTAACTTTGGGTTCCCAGATGTTTGTGGGTTAAAACTCCCAGAAGCCTTCAGCACTAGCTGTGCTGGCCAGGATTTTGGGGAATTGTCTCCCAAGAACATCTGGGGACTCAAGGTTGGGAACCACCGCACTTAGTACATACATTACACTTAGTACATACATTACACTTAGTACATGCAGCCCATTTACTCCTCCTTTAATCCTTCTATTAGCATAAGCAGCCATATTTATGTATTTATTTAAAATATTTTTATCCCACCTTTCTCCTTAAAAAGCAACCATGGAGGGAGGGAAGGAGGTCAGTTATATAACTGCCCAATTAGTGCACAGCAGTATTCTGGGCAATGCAATATAAAAAGTGATATAGTGTAATTTGTGTGTGTGTGTGTATCATTTGAAGAGTGCATATTCTTCTACAGATGGAGACCTCCTACCAGTTGGGGATGTAAAATATTTCCTTAGAAAAGAAGCAGTTTAATAAACATTCAGCTATCAAGAAACCCAAATCATTTTGTTGTTCATCTCTTGAGTGTCCTAAAGAACCAGAGATGCTTCATATTTGTGACACGCTGGTCCTTTTTGCAGCAAAATATGAGATACATCCTGCCTGCTTTGTGAATATCTGTGCCCAGTAAAAGCCACCTTAGGCAGGTTTGAAGATGACATTTCTTTTCTTTGTTTCCCTCTTCCCCTCCTCTTCAGGTGGCAGCTAAAGCTGGAGTCTATGAGATCCTGAACCAGCTGGGTTTTGCTGAATTTGAGAACCTAGAGGACCAGCCGCTCTCCCGGCTTCGCTACCGCTGGCAGGAGCAATGCCGTAGCTTCCTGCCATTCCGGGGAGGGTTCGTTTAGGACCCAGCATTCCCAAGGGCTTAAAGGATTGCCATGGTTCTCAACATGAAACTGACTCTCTGCTGTTTTTGTGAATATTTGTGTTTTTTTTTTTAAAAACGCTTAAATATATAAATAAATAAATGAACAATATGAAGAAAAGTGCCTTGAGGAAAGACCATGAGTCCAAGGAAAATAAGTTAAAAACTGCCTTGAAGACCATTTTTTTTTACAGGGGACTTTCAGATACAATAAAGTAAATTAAAATAAATTAGGACAGGTGTCAATGCAGGTGCTGTGTACTTTCCCCTGAATCCCTGAATGTTTTAAAACATGCTACAAATGGGTGCTATGGAGGTTGTTTTCAAAGATGTTTCCATGGACTCATCGTGCTACGACATGGCGTAGAAGGACATGATTTGTATATGCTGATGCAGAAAATGCATGCATGGTCAACACAATTGAACAATTGTTTAATTATTTCCTACATATTTTTCTTGTTGCATTTTATCCTGATGGTTTACATTTTTATTTATGAGAATGCTTCTGGAGTAGAGATGTGAGCTGCTGTAGTTGGACAAGTGCTCTGAGGAAAGATTGGCATACCAAAGAAGATACACTGATGATGAAAACTCCTGAATTGTTTGGGCTTACAAGCACGGTGTCCATCTGATTCAAGCAGATCTGCTCTGCAGACAGCTGCTTTGCAACTCTTTCCCCCTTTTCAGTTTAAGTGTTCCCTTCTGTTCTTGGCAGAAGATCAGCTCTCCCATGCTGCACACATCTGCTTGATTGTCCTTTATTTACAAACATATAAGTTGAGCAGGTTTTAAGAACACTTGTCCTAGAGCAGCATTGATTCTCCTGAAGGTTCAAGATCTAAACTTGAGGTCACTGCATTATTTACATAAAGTTAAAATTACAGGGCCTGTCACACTCTTGGTCCACCTCGCTAACTATTCTGTGCACTTATTTGCCCCACAAGCAGTTGTCTCATCATTCACATAGCTGATCTACAAGAACTAAGTTGGCCTGTGGGCTGCTTTTTGCCACTCCTCTATTCCATCCCAGTTCTAGAGGATTCTTATGCGAGATACATGCTCATCTTCCGAGGGCCAAAATATATGTTACAGATATTTCATTAGAAATGGGAACCAATTAGTGTTACAAAGATGTGGCATTCCTGGCTGATCTTTGATTCTTCCAAATAAAGTGATGTCCAAATCAAAAACAAAGCAAGCTAATTTTGCTCACTATAGAGAAACAGCCCATGCTTGTAACAGACATTTCAATACTTTCCGCTTCTAGTGATAGATGACCTGTAATGTATAGTTCAGCCCTGACAGATGTCCAGTCCCTAACGAGAACACCTTTTTGTTTACAAACAGAAATTGAGATATAAACTAAAACCTTGGGAGATGTGGCATTTGTGCATGACTAGTATGAGCCAATTGGTTTGGTAAAAGGAAAAGGTGCAGTGCTGTGGGTTTAGCTGCATTTATGCTTCTGATGATTGAGGTAAGTCATATCTTGGTGGTGCTGAACAAGATGGGACAGAAAGATGCCTTCATTTGTAAAATGCTGGATCTGAGCATCCAAGAACAAAGGAATGTGTCTAAATTGGTTGTAAGCAATCCATCCAATTCCCAGTTTTAAAAAAAAACACAACAATTTGAAGGGGAGAGAGCCTGAAAATGCCATGACTTCAACAGCCCAGTTTCAGGTGATGCATTAGAAGATATAGGAAGCAGCCTGATAATTAAGTTAAGATGACTGATCCATTTAGGTCAATAATGTACGTAACAATGACTGACTGTGACTCCAGGTTTCATACAGGACCTTCTTTTCTTCTCTTTAAAGCCTGCATAACACAACCTGTCCAAGAAATGAGATGAGTGAGATCAGAAACTAAAACACAGATTTCTAAATACATGTTGGCGTTCTGAAGTTCGGCGCTCAAAATTTTATTCCCTTTGCCGATGATCAGCTCTCCCATGCAGCATGCACAGTATCTGCTTGGTTGTTTTTTATTTAGAAATATATAGGTTGAGCAGGTTTTAAGGAAACAGGTAATGTTTGTCCTAAAGCAGTATAGGTTCTCCTGATGTTTATATTTGACCATAAGTGCAAGCAATAGCATTTTAATCCTTTCTTTAAAAACAAACCTACACGGAAAATGAGAATTTAAAATTTGTTTTAAAGACATAATCATACTCCAGAATCAACATTGTAAGTAAATGCACATACAAAGATTCCATTTGCTACAATTAGATTTAAAAAACCCGAAAGCCGTCCATCTGCCAGATAAAGGTAAAATATCTTAATTTATTGTTCTTGTGGGATTTTCTTTAATGCTTGAAGAGTTTACAAGTCCTAGCTATTGTCAAGCCAATGAAAAGGTAATACGCAGCTATTCTCTCTTTCTCCCTTTAAGCAGTTTTGAGGCAATTTTTAAAAGGGGGGGGACACAGAGGAGTTACAAACGGACAACAGCGCTGATGACTTGACCCCCCAGCCAGGAATGAGACAGAATGATTACTTATCTGGAAACACCCCAATCCTCTGAAAACAAAACTCAACATACAGTTGTGAACTATCAGAAGACACACTTCAAAATGCCGGGAAGGATGCTGTTGTACCATGTTTGTGTAAGCAGCTGCATTGTTACCACTGCCAACATTACTTTCAAGCTTGAATTGCAAAATGAGCTTTGACTTGCTGTCTTGATTGAAAAAAAATGAAATCAATGAGCTGTTTCTCTGCAAACCTACCACAAACATTGTGTAACATCATTTTGTTTCCATTTCTTAATTTAGTCATCCTGCATCTCCCATGTACAAACCAGACAAAACAGATGTGCAGATAAATCTTGACAATCACCATGTGATACAAGCTGTGAACAGGCCACATATTACATATTAATGTACAAAATTAGGATATGTTTTGTTCTTTATTCATTCAATTTCTATACCGCGCACCTGACTACCAAGGTTCACAACATGATAAAACAACACATTAAGAATCATTAAACATAATAATTATACAAAAACCAACATTAATCACACCAATCTACATACACAAAAAAGACCAAAATAACAAACTAATTTAAAAGGGCAAGATGATAGGTGATATAAGCACTGAAAAAGAATAATTTTAGAACTGCAGAGCTGGAAGGGACTCAGAATAATCAAGTCCACCCCCATTAAGGAATCACAGGGGGGAATTGAACTCCCAACCTCTGACTCTGCAGCCAGATGCTTAAACCACAGAGCTATCTCATGTAAGCAGGGAAAGCTGTATTTTGCAACTAGAGTAGGCCCATTTGAATCAATGGAACTTATAGACGAGTTGACTCACCAAATAACACTGGTTCAGTGGGTCTACTCTAGTGTTACTCTTCTATGCAACAAGATTTCAGCCATTGTGGCTATTCACTTCCATTATCCTGGCTAGAATGTGTAGGCTTGTGACCTTTTACTAAAGTTACATTTTTTAGAAGTGGGGTGAACAAGAGTTCTAAACACCCACAAGGCTTTGTAAAAGTTCCCTCTTTGACGTGCAATGGTGATAGTGATATTTCAGCAGACATTGTTACTTTACACTCAAACTGTGTTGATGCGTATAGGGCAATAAAGTGTGTCATTTAATAAACAATGGATTCCAGTATTGGGAAGATACCAAAACTTGTGAAACAAGAAGATGGTCCCTGAAGAGCAGAGCAGCTAGGATAAATTTACATGTTGCCAAGGATGAGGGGGATATTAATGTAAAGTCTCCAAGCATATAGCTTCTCTTGAGAGTTTTTTCTTTTATGAGAAATAAAGGAAAGAAAGATTATGATGATCCATGAGGACTAAATTAAACCAGAGGGCAGATGATTAACCTTCAACAATGGTTCTTTTGTGAAGTAACTACCCACTTCCCTCTAGTCATGGCTCCATCATTCAAGAGTGATTTTAGGAAATTTTGCAGCATAGCTGAGAGATGCCTCCTTGGGCAATTAATTGAACTTTAATTGCTTTAGAAGTCTACTCTATTGATCCTGCCAGTGTAAAGGGAAGCTCAGATGACATCACCTGGACTACTTACCTTCCTCCTTATTCATCAAACTTCAGAGCATTAAGTATAGGGACTTTTAACAAGGCTTTCTTTTCTTGAGTGTTAATAACCTGCCAACAGCATCCACCCTATTCAGTTATTTTTCAATTAGAGGGCAATTGCTATTCAACATCTAGTCTTGAAAAGAAAGGATTAATGATTTAAAAAAAAAAAACAACACCCAGTCAGGCTACATAGTTAAGAAAGAAATTTCAGGGTTAGGAAACTTTACAAAACCAGCTTGTTATTAACAGAAGGTGGATGTTCCTTTAATTCCAGGGACCTAACCATTATTTCTCCATTCTAGATGGCCGAAACCTATTGCTGTGGCCTGTCATCAGGCATTTTTTCAAGACTTTGAGGTTCACCCATCTCTGCTAGCAACAGCTACTCTCCTCCACAATTCAACAAATGACAGGGCACAGGTGCTTTCCTGAGGCGGAGATCTCTAATGGTTCTTTGAGAACATGTAATAATTATTGACACAAGTTGGATGGCTGCCCAATGTTTCAGTGCAGAAAACTCCCTTTTCAGTGTCTCATTCACACATCTGTGCCCTCCCTCCCAAAACCGGTTCCTTTCCCACTTTTGCATGCTTTTCCTTTTCTCCACCCACCCCAGGAGTTGTAACTCCATGAGCATATTTAGTTGACATTAACCCTCCCTGAGATTTCTTCTCCCTGTGATTCATTTAAAAAAAAACACATTTTAAAAGATGGAATGACAACTTTCCCCTTAAAACCCTTTCTTCAGCAGCTGTTTATGTATCAAAAGCATGACTGATGAGGAAGGTCTGTGCCTTCTGGCAGAAGGCTGGGATGGAGGAAGCCTAGTCTCACATGGCAGAGAATTCCACAGCCTGAGGGTAGCCACCAAAAAGGCTCACTCCCCGTCTCCATCAAGCATGCTTGTGAGGGCAGTGGGACTAAGAAAATGGCCTCCCCCAAAGCTCTTCAAAAGTCAGGGAAGATGCAATGGAGCAAGAGAATCTTTCACCTAGCCGTGGCTCAATATGTTTAGGGCTCTTTAGGTTAAAGCTCACACTGTTGTAACAAGGAATTTCTGTTTTCCATTGAGAAGTCTAGCTGCAGCATTTTGATCTCACCAAGGTTTCCAAACCATCCTTGTGAAGGACGCTATAGTACTCCAAAGGGACTGTAAACTAAGGCATGTGTCCCTGTGGCCGGATCAGGTGTCTCAAGTAATGGCCATAGGTGGCACACTAAGTGTACAAATATACACCTGTCCGCTGCCAATACCAGGACATCCATGCTCAGGGATAAATCTGTGATCATGGGCAATCTGCAAACCTGACTTCAGGTGGAGTTCAACCTCATCCATCACAGGGTAGAACCTTATTTCCTGACCTGCTTCTTGCCCAGGAGGAACTCTGCCTTGTCTCAATTAAGCATCAGTTTGCTCTCAACCATTTCACTATTGACTCCAGACACTGGTTTAGGACTGTAACAGTTTCCCTGGAATTAGATGGAAAGGAAAAATAAGAGTTGGGTGTCTGCAGCATACTAGTGGCACTGAAGCAGACAAACTTCTAGCACGAGGGACCCCGCAAGCCAATAGCCAGAGGATTGAGCAGAAGTCTCCCAGCAGTTCTGCATCTCTGTTATCTGTCTTACATTAAACAAATTAATTTGGCTCTGACTTGAAGATAAAATAACATCTCCCCCCTCAAAAGAAATAAAACAAAAACAAAATTTTGCATGACTTCTATACCACTGAGTTTACATTTGACATTTCAGCAGATTACCTTCAGTATCATCAGCAGCTTGCATCTGTATGTCACATGCTGGGGCACATGAGAGAGAGGAAGTGCTGTTTGACTTTTGCCTTCTGTGTGGGCCTCCTGTGGGCAACTGGTTACTAACTGGAGGCACACTGGACTACATAGTCCTTTTTATCTGATCCTGTGAGGATGACTTCGTATTTATACCAGCAACGTGTAGCAACTTCATGCTGAGCTTGTTGTGGCTACTGAGGAGACGTAACCACCTTGGGGACTGGTGGTAAGGGGAAAAAAGAGGGCACAAACATTATTTTTTATTATGTCACAGGAAATCCATTCGAGCACAGAGCATGAGATGAGAGGAAATGATCTCGAAACCTTTTTATGGAAAATCTTAGAGCTGATCTACATGTTTGCAGATGAATTAGCAGCCAGCATACAGAAGAACGATGTCTCTGTCTAAGGGCTCGATCCCACTGCCCCGCTCCTTTAAAAACATGATTTAAATGGTAGTGTATACACAAGGTACATGCATGTGCGGACCACTCTGCCAGGGGAGTGGGTTTTTCTGCTCCCCTGCCAGAGGTCTACTTACTTTGGAACAGATGTGGAATCGAGTCACTGGGATCAATTCCACATATGTGAACACCCCATCCACTTTAAAATAAAACAAAAGTAGTGGGCTTGCCAAAAAAGCCACCACTTGCCTGGTCGTCCCCCTTGCTCGCATGCCATCTTGCCCACCACATGCCCCCTCACTTGCCCATCCCTCAGGCAACTG